TTCATTGCAGGGGAGTATGGCATGGTGAGGGAGTGCCGAATACCATTCTTCTTCAGCCACAACCCAAACTCCTTGCTCAGGAACTCTCCCCCTCGATCGGTGCGGATTGACTTGACTAGACGGTCTTGTTGCCGCTCCACCATCGGGAACAAATCCGTCTTCAACGTTTCAGCCACGTCGCTCTTCTTGGCCAGCACGTACACCCAAGTCATGCGGGTGTAGACGTCGACAATGGTGAGAAAATACTCAGCTCCAGCAGCTCCAAGCTTCAGGGGGCCCACCACGTCCATCACCACCTCATCAAGCGGTGCCTTTGCCGTTGCCTCCGAACTAGGGAACGGAAACCGGGTGAACTTGGCTTGAATGCACGTCGGGCAGCCAAGCACCTCATCGGGCTCCCCCTTCACACGTATGCCAGCAACCATCTCATTCTTCACTAGCTGCTGCAAGATGGGCAGGGCCACATGCCCCATGCGCCGATGCAAGGTGAGCCAATCACACTCCCCCGTAGCCGAAGTTGGATTGGAGAATGCCGCGCTCGCAATAGCGCCCCACATACTCTCTCCGTAGTCCTCCTCCGCTGCTGCCTCTGGGTTCTCCTCACCCTTTTGCTGCTCCTTGGTTGCTGCACCACTCTCCTTAGGTTCACTGAACTTGCTGGTCCCTCCAGGTTTGCTCTTCTTGAGCTCATTCTCCTTAGCGCGACCGTTCGCGCCATCGTCGCTACCGACCGCTCCATCCTTGGTGCTGATGCTTGCTGCCACTTGCCTCTCCTTAGGCATAGGGACCACTGGGATCTGCCACATCTCGTTGTAGACATCCCTGTCCTCATGAAGGTCCCAAAGAATTCGATCGCCAAGCCTTGCGGTGTAGGTCTTGGCTCCCTTCGAGTTCGTGTCCATGCCGGCCTTTGCCAACCGCCGCACGGAAATCAGGTTTGCAGCAAGGCTGGGCACCCAAAGCACGTTCTTGAGGCCCACCATCTTCCCATCAGCACCCTTGAACATGGCCTTGCCCATGCCTTTCACCTCTGCTCGCTGCCCCAAAGCCGATGTGACATGCTTCACCGGTGACGGCTCGAGTTCGGTGAGCAAGTCCGGGCGAGGTGTCATGCTATAGGTAGCGCCACTATCAATCACCCAATAGTCCAGGGGGTGTAGGGTCACCTTCCCCACAGCTGCTGGCTCCTCAAAGCCTTCATCCTTCTCTGGACCAGCCGGTACTTGCGTCGACACGAAGTAGAATAGACCCGGGTATCGATCGTCGCTCGGGTCCTTGTCGTTGTCTCCGCTCTTCATGTTTGCAGCTCCGCCACCGCGACCGCCACGGCCTCCACGGCCTCGTCCTCTCCCTCCTCCTGCTCCTCTACCCTCTTGGCCTTGAGCAGGGGTCCAACCATCAGGGAGTTTGTAGAAGTCGCGCCACATGTGTCCGCTCTTGTGGCAATAGTGACACTCGCCGTCGAATCGGCCGCGACCGCGTCTGTAGCTCTTATCGTCGCTGCCGTAACCGCCACTCCTGCGGCCTCCGCCGAAGTTGCTGCCACCAAACCTTCCTCCCCCTCGTCCTCTGCCTCTTCCTCGACCATATCCACGGCCGATGCTCGCTGCCCCAGCGCCATCCGCACTCGCCAACTCACGGCGGCGGAAATCCTCTTGAAGGATAGCTCGCTTCACGTCTTCAAGTGAGAGGCGGGGCAAGTCGCGATTAAGGTTGATGATGAGCGAGGACCATGACTCTGGGAGTAAGGCCAGCAAATTGGTCTTCTTTTGGAGCTCACTGTAGTTCAAATCAGCCCCCTCAAGCCGCGTCAACAAGTCGAAGAATTTCTGCACCCCTTCTTCAACCGCTTCGTCTTCTTCAATTCGTAGTGCCGCCATTTGCCGTTCCAACACCACCGCTACCGCCGCTGTTGCAGGAGCATGTACACCCTTGAGAGCAGCCCATGCCTTTGGTCCTTTCTCTGGTTCACGCTGGAATGGCTTGATGTGACGGATCTGACTGCTCCCCAACGCTTGCCCAAGTAAGAGATAGCCTTGTGCGCTCTTCCGCACCCACGGGCTCTTCTCCGGGTCGTTCTCGGGGCGCTTCTCCGTTCCTTCCATCACCTCCAGCAGGTCATAGTGGTCAAAGATGTTCTCCATCTTGAAGGACCATTCAGCAAAGTTGTCACCGTTGAACTTGTCAAGCCCAAACACCCTAGGCTCATCCCTAGGTGGGCCAAGACTTGGTTGCATGGGCGCCATGGCTGAATCACGGGGTTGGCCTTGAGCTTGAGCTCTCCACTGCCACCAGCACCTCTGCCACCCCTTTCCTCAGGTCCAGACATTGTCGAAACTGCTCCAAGGGGCTCTGATACCACTTGTTATAGTCACAATAGGCTTGAATGTGCCTAAAACGAAAGATAGAGAGCACAGACGGATTTCTGCACAGCGGCTTCAAACGTTGATAGCGTTCTGCTCACAGCTGCAAATGACCTGATTCAAATTGGATCTGGAGCGTCTTCACGTCGTCTACAAGTAGCAATTTAGATTGCACGATTTGATAAAGAATTGACGACACAGCGTCGGTTTGAACGAACGGTACTATGGCAGCCACTATAGTCTTAGAACACAAGATAGGAAGAGTTACGAGTTGGGAATGACTCCCAGCTCCTACAAACCCCAAGAGCCGAGGTACAGTGATGTGGAACAGTGCCACACTGTCCCCAACCACGAAGGGTCTCGAAACTACCCTTCACTAGGGCCTACACCAAGTGAAATGTTACACTACACAAAGTAATGTAAATATCTTCAATATCTTGAGGTGTACCCTTTTTGGCGAGCTTCGAAATCACTTGAGGCTTGACACCAAGGCTCGGGCTCTTCATCACAAACTCATCCTTGAGTTCTTGATGGGTCTGCTGCACACACCTGCGACACGCCGAACGTTCGACACAGGACAAAATAGAAACCGCGCACGACAAAATAGAAACCGCGCGCGAGACACAAACGACCGCGTAACACGCGTCTAGCGATAACTCGCTATTGACTCGACACACACACTCGACATCATGACTCAACATTCACACACAATTATAAGCATGAAATATATATTATCCCATGCCCTCATACCATTCCATACACACACACATTCACGCACACGGACAACAAGCCGAGTGCAAACCGTAGGGTTGCACCAACATACATGACATTCTCGAGATGATTCACGACCGCCTAGGTCTCTCGCGACATTCGGGTGCAAACAGGAGGCGATGGGAGGCGATGAGGCGGAGATGCGGCAGGCGGCGACGAGGGGCAGGCGAGGCGGCAACCTGGCAACGATGAGGCGGCGAGGCGGCGAGGAGACGATCTGGCGGAGATCTGGAGGCGTGGTGGCGATGGGGAGTCGAGGGGGGGAGAAGGCGATGTGACGGTGCGCCGATGAGGAGGCGAGACGGCACTGGGGGTCGCACGTCCAGGGCGCGAAGTAACGCGGTCGCGCGTTCTGCGGGGAGGCGAGATGCCTACGAGGGATCACATGTGCCAGCTTGCGACACGGCGAGGAAGCAACAAATGACGACGCGCCATTCTCGTGGCGACGTCGCGATCTAGCCGCGACGTCCCGAAACGCATACGATGAGGCATTCCTAAACCCGTGGAGAGACGGACACCTTGCTTTTGAACTATGGTTTGCGTGGCGCTCTGGTTAGATTCTTGGGTAGCGTAACGCGATATCTATGCTTCTAGTTTTTGCGAGGTTCTGTGAGGCTTATGCTTGTCAGATTGAGCATCTGGGATGGTTATCACTTGTTGGTTGCTGCGCCATTCGCTTGGTTTCCGCATACCGCAGTGTATTCCCCAACTTTGGTTCGGCACAAAATTGATGGGCTTCGCCAGCCAGTTTGAATTCCTCGCTCCAGCTTTCTATACCCACAAAGCTTCGCTGTCGAATCAGCATCCCTCAAAGGATGTGCACTAACAATGCCCCCAAAAACCACCCCTAGGAAAGTGCACCCTTGCTTTAATGAACATAGCTGCTGTTATGAAAACGTGTACAGTGCTCCGGGTCAGCTTTGGTTGCCGAAACAGTGTGAACAAACCAAGTGAACAGGTTTGGTGCGAAGCTGGGGGGGTTAGTTGGGGTAACAACGAACTCAGCTGCGACCCTATTGGTCAGCAGTTACGTTACCTTGATCGGCGAGAACATTTGCGACTGTCGATGACGTCGCCAGTACCCGGGGGTATCCTGCGGGCAACATTTTGGTCACATCAGGGTTACCCTGCGTGAGTGACCCTGGGGTAACCGTCACTCAGCCAGCGATTTAGGGTACATTCCTACCTCGTGTCAGACACGAAGTGGAGGATTGGATGGAGGTTCGGAAGACCCGAAGTGGCCCACTTCGGGTCTTCCGAACATTGATTTGCCAGAGAAACAGGTCACTTCGGGTCTTCCTCAACTTCACTTCGTGTCTGACCTCATGTCAGACACAAGCCAAGAATGTACCCTTAGTCACTTCATAATTTCGTCAATGCAGCTTGCGTTGTCAGCTCTGCACGAACACTTAGGGCGTGTCCCACGAGTTCGTTTACATTTCAAGTTCAGGGTTGTAACCCTGTAACCCTTCGAATTACGAGACTGCATGACATGCGTCTTCAATGACGCACCTGAATGACGCGCCTAGGACGTCAAGAGGTTCGTATTCCCCGCGTACAATGTACGTGCGATCACCTCGTACCAGGTCCTGCAGTCCGTTACCCCAATCTGAAAAATCGCGCAACACCCAGTCGAGCGAAAATATTGAGCGTCGCAAGGGGCACAGCTTGTTCGCATTGGGGCGGGTTACCGCTCGCGGCCCATTTCAAATGTGATTCGGATGACGATTTTTGTGTGGGCGGGCTATGAGTCCGCGTGGGTCAATTTCGTTTGGCGCGGTTCTGACGCGCTGCGTGTTTTTTACGTCAGAGTGTACACTCTTTTGCTTTGTTTCAGTAACGTAAAAATGATGGTTTTCTCCCCAAATGAACTCATGGGACACGCCCTTAGTTTATCGCACATACTTTGTCGCACGGTCTCAGACGTGTCTCAGCGGCTCTCCACCCTGCGTTCCCCGCCTGCCCTCGGTACGCGTGCCTCCTACGCGCACCGGAGAGGACCCCACCTGTTCTCCTCGCACTGCGCGCTTTCCCCGCTCGCCACTCACCACTGCGCGCCACTCACCACTGCGCGCCACTCACCACTGCGCGCCACTCACCACTGCGCGCCACTCACCACTGCGCGCCACTCACCACTGCGCGCCACTCACCACTGCGCGCCACTCACCACTGCGCGCCATTCACCACTGCGCACCGCTGCCGCCTGTGAGCGTCGCAGCGGCGCCTGCGGGGATTCGAGGCCATCTGGAGCGCCGCGCCACGCGACGGTGGGGCGGCGGGCGGCATGGCGGCGGTGAAGGCGAGTGCGCGGTGCGCGGAGAACGAGGCGGCGGTGGCGTACCTGCAGGGGCGGCAGCGCGAGCTGTGCGGCGAGTGGGACGGCGCACTCACCCGCGCGTTCCGCATGGCCATCGCCAGCATCAGCGACCACTCGCTGCCACTGCGCACCCTCAACGACGCCAGCAAGCTCAGGTGCCTCGTCGCGTGGTGCCGTGCTCTCATCCCCCGGGGACTGCCCTCGCATCCTTGCACGCACTCTCCCCACGGAACGCCATCCCCCCTCACTCCCCCTCTCCTCCTCCCTCCTCCCCCCCCTCTCCCCTCCCCACCCCCCCACGCCCCCACGCCCCCAGGAACGTGGGTCCCGCCATCCAGCGCCAGCTCAAGGCGTTCTTCGCCGCCCACAAGCCCGCCGCCCGCCCCCGCACACCCACCCCGCCCGCCAATAGCGCGCCGCCAGCTGGCAACGACCCGGGAGGAGGGGCGATGGACATGGCTCCCGTGGGAGGTGAGAGGGGAGGGCAGGGGGGGCGGGGGCAGGGGATGTGCGAGCCAAGATGTTTGTGCAACGAAGAGGGGTTGGGGGCGAGGGGTGGGTTGGGGGCGAGGGGTGGGTTGGGGGCGAGGAGTGGGTTGGGGGCGAGAAGAGGCAGGAGGGAGAGAAGGGGCAGGAGGGAGAGAAGGGGCAGGAGGGAGAGAAGGGGCAGGAGGGAGAGAAGGGGCAGCAGGGAGAGAAGGGGCAAGAGGGAGTGGCAGCACGCATGCCCGTCTTAACAACTGCTATCTCGTGCATGCAGGTGATGACGTGGCACACGCCATGGAGCAGTCAGCAGCGGCCATGCCCGACTCCATCCCGCGCAAGCCGCCCAAATACTCCCCCAAACGCGGCTCCGCTGCCTTCGCCATTCTCGTCACCCTGCTGCTGTGAGGCCCGCCCCGCCTTCCCCTCTGTCCCGTCTGCCCCACTTCCTGGAACCGCCCTCCCCACCTCCCCCCTTCACGGCTTGCTCCCCCCTTCACGGCTTGCTCCCCCCTTCACGGCTTGCTCCCCCCTTCACGGCTTGCTCCCCCCTTCACGGCTTGCTCCCCCCTTCACGGCTTGCTCCCCCCTTCACGGCTTGCTCCCCCCTTCACGGCTTGCTCCCCCCTTCACGGCTTGCTCCCCCCTTCACGGCTTGCTCCCCCCTTCACGGCTTGCTCCCCCCTTCACGGCTTGCTCCCCCCTTCACGGCTTGCTCCCCCCTTCACGGCTTGCTCCCCCCTTCACGGCTTGCTCCCCCCTTCACGGCTTGCTCCCCCCTTCACGGCTTGCTCCCCCCTTCACGGCTTGCTCCCCCATACCATGCCTTGCATGCATGCCATGCCATGCCTCGACTCATGCACTTCATTCGCATGCTGCACCGTGCGTCACACTGTGACGTGGGATGGCAGGGAGAAGGTGAAGGGGTGGCAGGCAGTGCCAGTGGCGGAGCTCATGGCCGCCTCCAGGGATGCCGCCCTGCTGGCCTCCGTCATCAGGTGCTCGCCTCCGTCATCAGGTGCTCGCCTCCGTCATCAGGTGCTCGCCTCCGTCATCAGGTGCTCGCCTCCGTCATCAGGTGCTCGCCTCCGTCATCAGGTGCTCGCCTCCGTCATCAGGTGCTCGCCTCCGTCATCAGGTGCTCGCCTCCGTCATCAGGTGCTCGCCTCCGTCATCAGGTGCTCGCCTCCGTCATCAGGTGCTCGCCTCCGTCATCAGGTGCTCGCCTCCGTCATCAGGTGCTCTGCTGGTGAGATGCCGTGTCTTGTGCTGCTCTGCCGCCACGCACATGTGTACCGCACTAAGTCGAACCCAGTGATTGTAATTCCTGCCATCTCTCCTTCGCACCCCACGGACCCTTTCCGTGTCCCCGGGGGGAGGGCAGGTTCCAGGTGCCGAGTGACGAGCGCAGCATGGGGGGCGCGCCGCTGCAGCAGTTTGCATGTGGGTGGAGCAGCATGGAGACCCTCGCCAGGCACAACCTCGTTGTCAAGACCGCCCACCCGCCCAGGTCTCCTCACTCGCTCTGCCCCCCCCATCACCTGCTGCTCTTGCACGTGTGCTGCACTCGTGGCAGCAGCCTGTGCTCCTCGCACCCTAACCCGCCCATCCCATTCCTTCCTCCCGACCCCTCCCCCCCCCACCTCGTCCCTCTCGTCCCACCGGGCAGCTACTTGCTGTCGGAGGAGGGCCATGCCGTGGCCGTGGACTGTCTGCGCCGCTCCAAGTTGCCGCTGCCCCCCGCCGCTGCTGCTGCTGCGCTGCCAGGTGAGTGTGCGCTGCCAGGTGAGTGTGCGCTGCCAGGTGAGTGTGCGCTGCCAGGTGCTCATGTGCTGCCAGGTGCTCATGTGCTGCCAGGTGCTCATGTGCTGCCAGGTGCTCATGTGCTGCCAGGTGCTCATGTGCTGCCAGGTGCTGCACGCTCAACACGCCCCTCCCACTATCTCTCCTTTCTCCATTGCAACCATTCTGCTCTCTCTCTCTCTCTCTCATGTCCTCGCCTCGCCTCCCCTCCTTCCCCCTTCCCGCTGTCCTTGTTGCCATGCACGCGGGCACGGCTGGAGGGCAGCAGCGGCGGCGGGCAGCGGAGGGGCAGCAGCGGGCAGCGGAGGGGCAGCGGCGGTGGGAAGACAGGTGCGCTTGATCCTAGTCATGCCTTTCATGCCTCCTCGCTGACGTCATACCATGTGCTTGCTGACGTCGTAGCATGTCCTCGCAGACGCCATAGCACTCGGTGATGACAACATGGCATGTCGTGCTCACGTACCCTCGTGCATGTCGCACCTAACCCTACTCTACACCTTCCTCGTGCATCCCACTGTCCTTCGCACTGCCATGCTCCGCGCCTATTGAAAGAAGCATGTTGCTACGAGCCGTGCACACATGAGAGAGGGATGACAGCATCCCTTCATCATGAAGGGACAAGCATGCACCTCCCTCCCCTCTGTCTCTCTCACCCACGCTTCCCACGCCCTTCTGCCCCTGCCCGCCTCCCTGCACCCCCCCACACGCGCCCCCCCACGCCCAACACGCCCCTGCACTGCACCCCTCTGCATCGCTCTCCACCTCTCTGCGTGCCATGGATAGCAGCCAGTGCAGTGGTCCGCGCAGATGCTCAACGACCCCTTTGCCATGCTCGACCTCCCAGGTGACTTGCCAGGTGACTTGCCAGGTGACTTGCCAGGTGACTTGCCAGGTGACTTGCCAGGTGACTTGCCAGGTGACTTGCCAGGTGACTTGCCAGGTGACTTGCCAGGTGACTTGCCAGGTGACTTGCCAGGTGACTTGCCAGGTGACTTGCCAGGTGACTTGCCAGGTGACTTGCCAGGTGACTTGCCAGGTGACTTGCCAGGTGACTTGCCAGGTGACTTGCCAGGTGACTTGCCAGGTGACTTGCCAGGTGACTTGCCAGGTGACTTGCCAGGTGACTTGCCAGGTGACTTGCCAGGTGACTTGCCAGGTGACTTGCCAGGTGACTTGCCAGGTGACTTGCCAGGTGACTTGCCAGGTGACTTGCCAGGTGACTTGCCAGGTGACTTGCCAGGTGACTAGCCGGGTGACTTGCCAGGTGACTAGCCGGGTGGCTCTGGCTCATGTGTCTTTCCTCCCTTCTGCGGTCCCCTCTTCCCTTCCCCCTTTCACTTCCCCCTCTCGCTTCCCCCTCTCGCTCCTCATCCCTCTCATGCCACTCCCCTTTTCGCGTGTCCACCTCCCTGCACACAACAGCAACCACACCGTACCACTGCACACCGTACCACTCCACACCGTACGTACCACTCCACACCGTACCACTCCACACCGTACCACTCCACACCGTACCACTCCTCCGTGCTGCCACTGGCCCTCCCTGCCTGCCCGTCCCGCCATCCCTTCCGCCCTCACTCCCCCTTCTCGCTCGTCCCCCTGCTCCTTCCCTTCTCCACCCGGGCAGGCAGCAGCGGGGTGGAGGGCGAGGAGGAGTGGCAGGTGCCGCCGCTGGCAGCGGGGGAGCGGTTCTCAGAGGCGTATGACGTCATCATCTTCATTGACAACCGCGACAGCGAGTGAGGCGCGCGCGCTGCCGTGCTGGCGCACTGTGCATGGTGGATGGTGCATGGTGCATGGTGCATGGTGGATGGTGGATGGTGCATGGTGGATGGTGCATGCTGAATGGTGGATGGTGGATGGTGAATGGGGAAGGATGGGTTGCACCGTTGCACCCATGCCCATGACTCACCACCCATGCCCATGCCTCGCCATACCCCTCCTCCCTGCCCGCCCCGCCCCGCCACCTCCCCTTGGTCCTCCACCCCCCACCAGGTGCCACGGGCCTGTGTTCGCCAGCCAGCTGTCGCAGCAGTTTGGGCTCGCCACTGAGGTGGGGCACGGCGGTGCGATGAGCATGGGGAGGGGCGGGCAGAGGGGTGGGCAGAGGCGGGGGGGATGGAGAGGGTGCTGGCACAGCACGCCCATTGCACCCACACACCGCCCAATCCAGTGGCGGAGCCACACACCCCCCAATCCAGTGGCGGAGCCACACACCCCCCAATCCAGTGGCGGAGCCACACACCCCCCAATCCAGTGGCGGAGCCACACACCCCCCAATCCAGTGGCCCCATCTTCTCTTTGCCCCTGCCCCTTTCTCCCCACCGTCACCCCTCCCTGCACCGCTGACTGCTTCTGCATCTGCCACCCTGTGTGCCCCTTCCCTTCCCACTGTGCCACACTCACCTCCGCCACTTTACACTCCCCTTCTCCCACCACTCTTTTACACCACGTCCCTCAGTTGCACTGCCATGAGGCATCAGGAGTGGCCGTGCATGCCACCCGCGTGCCTCATCCCTCCCGTTCCCCCCCGCCACCCCCCTCCGCTCCTCCCGCCAGGTGCACGCGCTGCCAGCGGGCGATGCCATGTGGGTGGCACGGCAGAGGGCGAGCGGGCGGGACTACGTGTTGGACTTCATAGTGGAGTTCACGCGCGCTCACGACCTCTGGATGGCCATCAAGTCCTCCCGCTTCCGCGACCAGCGCCTGCGCCTCCAGGTCACCCCCATCAGCCCACCTCACCCCTGCCATGCGCCTCCAGGTCAGAGCCATCAGCCCAGGTCAGACCCATCAGCCCAGGTCAGACCCATCAGCCCAGGTCAGACCCATCAGCCCAGGTCAGACCCATCAGCCCAGGTCAGACCCATCAGCCCAGGTCAGACCCATCAGCCCAGGTCAGACCCATCAGCCCAGGTCAGACCCATCAGCCCAGGTCAGACCCATCAGCCCAGGTCAGACCCATCAGCCCAGGTCAGACCCATCAGCCCAGGTCAGACCCATCAGCCCAGGTCAGACCCATCAGCCCAGGTCAGACCCATCAGCCCAGGTCAGACCCATCAGCCCAGGTCAGACCCATCAGCCCAGGTCAGACCCATCAGCCCAGGTCAGACCCATCAGCCCAGGTCAGACCCATCAGCCCAGGTCAGACCCATCAGCCCAGGTCAGACCCATCAGCCCAGGTCAGACCCATCAGCCCAGGTCAGACCCATCAGCCCAGGTCAGACCCATCAGCCCAGGTCAGACCCATCAGCCCAGCTCAGCCCTGCCATGCGCCTCCAGGTTCGTGGGCATGTGCTTGCCGCCAGGTAAGCCCTGCGCCGCCAGGTAAGCCCTGCGCCTCCAGGTAAGCCCTGCGCCTCCAGGTCAGAGCTTCGGCGCCAGGTCAGCCCTGTGCCTGCCACTGCAGGTTAGATTGCGATGGAAGGTGAGCGTCTCCGTGTGTTTGTTCTATGCCACCACAAGGTTCGCCTGATGTGCTTGCGGTTGGCGCACCAACTTGAGCTCAAAGGATTTATGAAGCTTATACCTTTGTAGCACATCAAGAATGGGAAAGCATTCGGCCACTCTCTTCTGAGATGAGTCGAGTTGAAATCTTTCTTTCAGCTGAACGTCAAGGCAGAGCGCGTGGCTTTCACCTGCCTGCCATGCAATGATCTGCTCTGCCCCCGACTGGCTCTCTTCCTCTGCTGCCTCTCAGCGGTGCGGCGTGCGTCGTCTGTTGTGCCTCGTGGACGGCTCACTGGACGACCTCATCGCCTCCGACCCCAACCGCGCTGCGTCAGTCCGCCCCCCGCCCCTCCCCTCCCCTCCCCTCCCCTCCCGCTCCCACTTCCCCTCCCTCTCCTACTTGCGTGCCCCGTATCTCCCATTCAGCCTCTCTCTGTCTCTTGCCCATCCACCCTTGTCACTCCCTTATATCACCTTCTCTCCCACGATCACTCTTTCTGCCTCTACAACTGCCTGCCTTGCATCACTCTCCATTCTTGTCTCTACTCTCAGCTGTGCTTCCCGTGTGCCATGTCACCCGTCACCCGTCACACCCCCCCGTGGGCAGAATGATAGAGGCGGAGATGGAGGAGGGGGTGGACATACAGCAGACGGCATCGCTGCACGACACCAAGCAGCGCTACCTGGACATCACCACCGCGCTCGTCTGCCGCTACAACGACGCCGCCACAGCCCTGCACCGCCACCTGCAGCACCACGCGCACGCGGGCGGCGCTCCCCCCTCACCCCCCCCGCCCTGCCCGCTGTACGGCGAGTTCGTGGCGACGTGCCGCTCCGTGCAGTCTGACTCCGTCTGCAACCTCTTTGGCCACCTGCTGCTGCAGGTGCGCTGTGCTGGGGGGCATGGGGTGCTGCTGCTGCACGTGCTGATGCTGGGGCAAGGGGCATGCTGCTGTACGTGCGGTGGGGTGGGGGCGTGGTGCATGAGACTGACAGTGGTGTGGTGGTGGAGGTGGCAAGTGAGCGCATGCTGCCTGGATTTCCAAGTGCACTACAACCAACCTCCTCCCCACCTCTCTTACCTCAATTGCCCTCTCCTTTCACCCTCACCTCCCAACCTCCGACACCTGCCCCCGTCCTGCCCCCTGCCCCCCGCCACCTCGCTGCCCACCAGGTGCGGTCGGTCTCAGTGGACACGGCCATCGCTGTGCTGCGCCGCTTCCCCTCGCTCAGGGCGCTCGTCAACGCCTACCACCTCATGGTGCGTGCCTGCCACCTCATGGTGCGTGCCCGCCACCTCATGGTGCGTGCCTGCCACCTCATGGTGCGTGCCTACCACCTCATGGTGCGTGCCTGCCACCTCATGGTGCGTGCCCGCCACCTCATGGTGCGTGCCTGCCACCTCATGGTGCGTGCCTGCCACCTCATGGTGGTGCCTGCCACCTCATGGTGCGTGCCTGCCCATTACTCGCTCTCTCACTACACCCCCTTTCGTCATTCTCTTTCACTCATGTAACCCCCATGTTTTCCTGAAACTCTCACTTGTTGTGCACACTCTGTTCTCTCTCTCTATGAACATCCATTCTTCACTTTCTCTCTTGTGCACAAATCTTTGCTCTCTCTCACACGACACCCTTTCTTCATTCTCCCATCCCATGCCCCACACCCATGTGGCGCGCTGCTACCAGGAGGGCAACCCAGAGGGGCAGGCGATGCTGCTGACGCGCATCACAGTGAAGGGGCGGCGCATAAGCGAGGCCGTGAGCCGCAAGGTGTACGAGATCGTGTGGACGTAGCAAGGTGTACGAGATCGTGTGGACGTAGCAAGGTGTACGAGATCGTGTGGACGTAGCAAGGTGTACGAGATCGTGTGGACGTAGCAAGGTGTACGAGATCGTGTGGACATAGCCGCGCCTCGCCTCGCTTCCCTCGCTCTTGTTCTGAGCTCGTATCAGCTTGTAAATCAATGCGTATATGATGTGTTGTTTAAGCCCTAGTGTTCATGTGTTGCCAGACGGTGGTGGTGCGTGCCTTCTCCAGTGCGCCACTCCCCCCAGGGACAAGAGCACTCACGCCTGCACTGCACCAGGAGTCAGAGGCATAAACCACACTCCACCCTAGCTATAATTCCCTATGCATGTTGCAACATGGCAGCATCAGCATGCCACCCACCCACGCCCTGGGTGCAGTGCAGACCACTCATGCGTCCACGGTGCGGCGCCCCTCACACGTGCCGCACACACGAGCCCCGTTGCACGCCACGCAGTACCGCCACTTGTTGGCCAGCCTGGGGGCACCCCAACCCACCCACCGATGGCATGGCAACAGCAGGAGAGTGAGAGTGAGAGATCCGTTAGTGTGGTGCGAGTGCTGTGAGTGTGTCGATGCGGTTGGTGTGTGCAGAGCAAGAGTGGAGTGAGAGGCAGGCACAAGGAGAGGGCAGTGGGTGGTGGCACAAGGAGAGGGCAGTGGGTGGTGGCACGCACGGCAACGGTAAGTCTTTACTGCCAACGCAGCAATGCACCCGCTCCTCCCTTCATCACCCGCTCCTCCCTTCCTCACCCGCTCCTCCCCCCCATCACCCGCTCCTCCCCCCCATCACCCGCTCCTCCCCCCCATCACCCGCTCCTCCCCCCCATCACCCGCTCCTCCCCCTCATCACCCGCTCCTCCCCCCCATCACCCGCTCCTCCCCCCCATCACCCGCTCCTCCCCCCCATCACCCGCTCCTCCCCCCCATCACCCGCTCCTCCCCCCCATCACCCGCTCCTCCCCCCCATCACCCGCTCCTCCCCCTCATCACCCGCTCCTCCCCCCCATCACCCGCTCTTCCCCCCCATCACCCGCTCTTCCCCCCCATCACCCGCTCCTCCCCCCCATCACCCGCTCCTCCCCCCCATCACCCACTCCTCCCCCCCATCACCCGCTCCTCCCCCCCATCACCCGCTCCTCCCCCTCATCACCCGCTCCTCCCCCTCATCACCTGCTCCTCCCCCCCATCACCCGCTCCTCCCCCCCATCACCCGCTCCTCCCCCCCATCACCCGCTCCTCCCCCTCATCACCCGCTCCTCCCCCCCATCACCCGCTCTTCCCCCCCATCACCCGCTCTTCCCCCCCATCACCCGCTCCTCCCCCCCATCACCCGCTCCTCCCCCCCATCACCCACTCCTCCCCCCCATCACCCGCTCCTCCCCCCCATCACCCGCTCCTCCCCCTCATCACCCGCTCCTCCCCCTCATCACCCGCTCCTCCCCCCCATCACCCGCTCCTCCCCCCCATCACCCGCTCCTCCCCCTCATCACCCGCTCCTCCCCCTCATCACCCGCTCCTCCCCCTCATCACCCGCTCCTCCCCCCCATCACCCGCTCATCCCCCCCATCACCCGCTCCTCCCCCCCATCACCCGCTCCTCCCCCCCATCACCCGCTCCTCCCCCCCATCACCCACTCCTCCCCCCCATCACCCGCTCCTCCCCCCCATCACCCGCTCCTCCCCCTCATCACCCGCTCCTCCCCCTCATCACCCGCTCCTCCCCCCCATCACCCGCTCCTCCCCCCCATCACCCGCTCCTCCCCCTCATCACCCGCTCCTCCCCCTCATCACCCGCTCCTCCCCCTCATCACCCGCTCCTCCCCCCCATCACCCGCTCATCCCCCCCATCACCCGCTCCTCCCCCCCATCACCCGCTCCTCCCCCCCATCACCCGCTCCTCCCCCCCATCACCCGCTCCTCCCCCCCATCACCCGCTCCTCCCCCCCATCACCCGCTCCCCTCCCCCATCACCCGCGCCCCTCCCCCATCACCCGCGCCCCTGGCCCCCCTCTCGTCACCTGGCGGAGGAGCGTTGGGCGGAGGGGGGGTTGGCGCCCAGCCCGCGGGAGGGCTGCCTCGCGCTGGCAGCTTTGGACACAAAGCCCTCGCCCTGGCACTCGCTGCAGATGCCGCTCCCCCTGCACGCCGCGCACGGCACCTAATGGGGGCGAGGGTGGGGTTGCGAGGGGTAAGGGCAGGTGCGGGGTTGAAGGGGCGCAGCAGGTGCTGGGGGAGAGGCGAGAAGGGAAGGAAGAGACGATGTGGCAAGGCAACGCATTCTCGCTCCTTGGCTTCGTCCCATCCACTCGCATCAAGTGGCGAGAGGCACACACCCTCCCTCCTCCGCCTCACCTTAACCTTAGCAGCAGCGCCCTCGCCCTCCCCTGCCCTCTCCGACTCCCCTCCTCGCTGCAGCCCCACCAGCACCGCCGCCACCCCCACCACCGCCACTGCGCCGCCCACAACGGCTGCCATGCCGCCCATGTCGCCCTCCGCTGCCGCCCGCACAGTGCGGGGTTGTCTGGGGCGCGGGAGTGCAAGGGGGAGCACTGCGGGCAAGGCTGCTGGGCGCCATGCGCCTGGCAAGTAAGGGGCGCGCGAGTGTGGGTGCGGCGGGGGGGGCAGCTGCGTGGCGGCGCAGCAGCAGCGCGCGCAGGGGGAGGCGGACGCGCGTGGTGCTGTGAGGAGGGGAAGGGAGGGGAGGGCAGGGAAGGGGGGAACGGGGGTGGGTTGTTGCGGGGAAGGAAGAAGATTGAGCGAAGGTTGAATGGCAGGGAGGAGCGGCGACGCGGGGAGATGGCACGCGCAGTGAGGGCTGTGTGGGTGCCGGCTGAGATCGCGCGGTGATGAGGGGCGGCACCGAGGGACGAGCAGAGGGGCGGGCGAGTGAGGGGATGCGCGAAAGGGGAAGGGCGTTGGGGGAGTGGGGAGGGGCGAGGAGGGGGGCAGGCGGCGTGGGGAGGTGAGGGCGGCGCGACGGGTGGAGGCGACGGTGGGGAAGGGGAGGTGCGCTGATCAGTGGCGACGTGACATGGGTCATGGCGGGTGGCGCATGGCGGGTGGCGCGGGTGGCACATGGCGGGTGGGGAGGCACGATGCGTGCGCACTGAGGGCGGGCGCGGGGAGGAGCGGATGCCGGTGGAAGGGAGGCAGGGGGGTGGAGCAGTGGAATGGGAGACGCATTGAGAGAGCGGGCGGGGGAAGAAGGTGCGGTTAGGGCAGTGGGTCGGCACAGGCGCGATGTGCGGCGGTGAGGGCGAGGCACTGACGCAATGTGAGGGCAGACGACGACGAGAGCGGCGGCGAAGCGACGAGGGCGAGCGATGGTGCCATGGCGGGATGCACGGCGACAGTTGCGAAATCGAGTCTGATGGCGATCTGGCACTGCTGGGCCCAAATGCTTCACACCGTCAAACCCTGGTCGACCATTTGGGCGGTTCTGACGATTGCGAGGAATTAGGGCGCGTCAAATCGCCAAACATTTGCGAAAAATGTGTTTTGGCTGTTATTCCGTCGACCAATGGTCGACAATTTTTTTCGCTAAAGCCGACGGATTGGTCGACAGCAGGTCGACAGATTCACGGCCCAGATTTGGTGTTCTGCAAATTTGACAGTTTTGGTGGCCGTATTGCACGCTCTTGTATGGAACTTGTAAAAAATGCAGTTCTACAAGGAAATTTCATTTTCCACCGCGTACATGACTGTTCCCGCCACACCCCAACAGTAAGCCGTTACCACCTCGCGACACTCGCCTCGACCACTGTTCCCGCCACTGTTCCCACCGCGCCCAAACCACCCGGCTCGGCTGGTAACCTGCGACCCGGCCCTACGCTTCGAAATTGCCCAACCTCCGCATCAGGCCCGAGGGGCACCCTTCACGAGCACGTTACACTTGCCGAAATGCCTTCGCTTTTTAACATTCGCTCATGCCTTCTGTTGATATAACCAAAGAATCAAAGAATTAGGATAAGACCAGCTAAGTTGAAAGAAGACTAGGAACTCTTGAAGTGACCTTGTTATAAGTTGAACGGAAACAAGACAATTGAGGTAGAATTACAAAAAACATAGATAGCATTCATAGCTATTCATATACTCTGAGAGGTACATTCCCTTATAAATGCTTTGCATTGCTACAGTAACTGCGACAATTGCTATCCTCGACAGTTACTGGGTTGCAGCGAGTAACCTCTGACGACAGTTGCGGGCGGGGTGGTCAACAGTCGCAACTGTTGATTTCCTCGGACTGTTGACCTCCTCGTGACTCTTGACCTTCGCGTGCTCTATATGGGCTAGCACGGTACTGATACAAGTGCGCTGCTTCGTTATGAAGCGGTGCGCTAAGGAGAACCTTCAGGAATGTTATAGTAACCCTTCGGTTATTCGAACACTCCCTTTCATTCCTGAAGGTGATCCGCGTGGGATTTATTCGAGATCCCGCAGAAGTTGATGGAGTGTTGAAACTTCTGACAGGGCAGCTTCTTTGTCAGAAAATCCACTGCCATGTCACCAGTCAGGCAATATGTGGGTTTGACTTTCCCTTTGTCGATCTCGTCCTTGACGAAGAAGTAACGGAGTGCGATGCGTTTCGTGCGATTCATTAAGCCGGGCTTGTTCACGATCTATATCGTACTTTGGTTGTCGCATAGTAACTTGAAGTCCCCGTTCATCGTCACTTTCGCTTCCTGCAGGAGCTCTATCAGGTACAGTCCTTCGCGAACAGCTGCGCTGGCGGCGATGAATTCAGCTTCGGCTGACAAAAGAGCGATGAGCTCCTGCTTCTGGGAGTTCCAGGAGATAAGTCCAGCAGGCTCGAGCTGAAAAACAAAGCTTGCGCGGGAACGTCTGTTGTCAACATCTCCCGCATGGTCCGCATCCACAAAGCAGAATCGCATGCAAGCGATTCTCTTCCAGCACACAGGGGCCAAGATGCGACACTTTGCAGTCATGCCAGCACATCCTGACTGGACGCGCAGCCAGTCAGGTCTTCGAGAGTCAAACTAAGGGAAACTGAAATTTTACTCGCTTCAAAACTGAAACTCGCTTCCATTTGAACAGAATTTAAATTTAAAATTGTACATGCGCTTATAGTAAGTAAAGATTTCACAGGGGGTGCGCTTATAATTGAGGATCGGCCATAAGCGCATTGCTCCAGACATAAGCGCATGCGCTTATAATAGGCCTGCGCTTCTATCCGGGGTGATACGGTACATGCCTTGGTCGTGCGGTAGTTGAGTGAAGCCGAGTTCGATGAGGACGGTGCCCAGGTACTGCTGCCATAGTCGAGGTGCTTGCTTGATGCCGTAGAGGGACTTTTGAAGAAGGCGTGAGGCTGCTCGACGAAAATGATGGCGTCGACGATTGCGTACAGGAACGCGTTGGAGGCGTCGATCTGCCGGAGCGGGCGCTGCTTGACGGTTGCGATGCAGATGAGAATTCGCAACGAGGTGTGCCGTCCGACTGCGCGAAGGTTTGGTCGTAATCCACTATGTGAGTTTGCTCGAAGCCGCGCACCTCCCATCATGCCTTATATACTTGTCGATTGATCCGTCTGCAAGCGTTTTAATCCAGAAGACCCATTTGCCGATTAATATTTTTCTCCCCTTTGCTGAGGAACGGGGAACCAGCTTCCAGGTTCCGCGGCGCTTAAGTGCTGCTACTTCCGCCGCCATGGCGGCCCTCCACTCCTCACTGTCGAGGCCGGACAGGGCCTGGCGGACGGTGGTTGGTTCCTTGGGAGAAAGTTGGCGAACTGCGACTGCGAGCCCAATAATGCGGAGGCCAGTTTCGTTAGTAGGTTCGTAGGCGAGGTGGTCCAGATCGTGCATGCTGGTAACTTCGACGTCATCGTCGTCGCTATTGTGGCCGTTGCGGATGGTATCTTGCGAGGGGTTTGGTGGTGGTAACTCGGCATCCGGAGATTGGCGCACTGTGCTGTTGTAGTTGTGGGCTTCGCGAGTTGTATCTTCAAGATCGAATTGATAAACAGGTATGAATGTCGGGATTTGGAGCGGTCTTGTAAGGGGGATGTTGGGAAAGTGGTCGAAGGCCGACACGTGTGTTGCTTCTGCATCCTCTGCCATGTCAGTCTCATCCTGTGATGTGGCGAAGCTGCGGTGTCCCATGAAAACTATTTCCGGTGCCTTGTCAACTTCGCGATGTTCCTTGAACAGTGGCAGGGTCAGCTTCTCGTAGAAGATGTCGTCACGTGATTTCGTTACTTTATGTGTTGCGTAGTCCAGCACGGTCCAAGCCTTGAACTCTTTTTCGATCCCGAGGTGAATGCCCCAGCGTGCCCGGTCAGTAAACTTTCCGGTTCTCGCCGTGTGAGATATGTACTCTACCATACAGCCAAACACTCGAAGCAGACGCGTGTCAGGCTTTCTGCCCGTCCAAGCCTTGTAAGGTGAGGTGTGTGAAGAATAGAACGAGGAATGAATGCATTGAGCAGCATGAGGAGTACAAGTAGGAAACCCTAAAGTGTTGTACCCCATATGAACTATCCCACTACAGCCTACACAGACTATAGCATATAAGTTTGACACACCCCCATAGGCAAAGTGGGGGAGAACAAGAGGTCACAAGACCAGTCAAGAGAGGCAAAGCAAGCTCAGGGTGGATCACAACGTCACCACGCATTCTGAGCACAAGCAAATGGCCACAAGGCCAGTTCACATGCAGAGTTATATAAAGGAGAACAAGCAATACAGTGATCACAACCTAGCAAGTGTAAGCATGCAGGTATATATATAGAGATCACAGTACAAGCAGAGTCAAGAAGTAAGCAAGTGAGCCACAGTAGGCACAAGGCCTAGAACAGTACAGAAACGCTGATGATCACAAGGCTGAAGTGCCTTGGTGAAGATATCAGCAGTGTTGGCCCGAGTGGCCACGTAAGCAAGACGAAGCTGACCACGCTGCTGCAACTCTCGAGCAAGGAAGTAGCGCAGAGGAATGTGCTTCGTTCTGTGCTCCAGTCTGTGCTCCTGACACAAGGCAATCATGGCCTTGTTGTCGACGTACAGCACTGGAGGAGAACGAGGTGGCTCTCCCAGGTCGGCGAGCAGGTAGGTGAGCCAGCGTAACTCCTGTGCAGCCATGGCCCCTGCGTAGATCTCAGCCTCACAACTGGAGCTGAGAACAGAAGACGAGCGGGTAGACCGCCAAGAAACAGAGCCGGAGCCAAGACTGAAGGTGTAACCCTGTGACGACCGCTGCGTAGCCAAGTCGTCAGCCCAGGAAGCGTCTGCGTGACCAGTGAGGACGAGCCCGTCCTCCAAGCACGAGCCCCATGCCCGACGTACTGCACAAGTAGCGCAACACCCTCTTAGCGGCATCCATGTGCTCCTTCCTGTGTCTCCCAGGAGCGACATAGCGTGCCAGAATGCTAAGAGGGTAGGCAAGGTCAGGACGAGTGCAGGTCATCACGTACATGAGGCAGCCCACAAGCTCTGGGTACGGACCACTCGGCTCTACGGACTCGTCCGAAGGTGGAGCTGAGAGCGAGTGGCGAGTAGGCAGAGGAGTGGGCTGTGGCGAGGAGTACGTGAAGCCGAAGCGCTGAAGGACCTGCTGCACCATGTGTGACTGAGT